CGAACGATTCCATCAGATCAGAGCCTTCGGCTGCTCGAACGATTCCAACACGACTCAGTTTTCAGACTGTTCGTCTGAGGCTTACTTTCTGCTCTGCTTTTATGTCTTCCAGTCTTACTGGGAGTGACAGACATCGTTAAGGTTACCATGGTAAGCTTAGGTTTTTACAACCTGGTCTTTAGAGAAGAAAGTTGATGGATATTTAAAATTCAACGTTTCTGCAGAAAACTTCCTTTGAAATAACGAGCGGTGGTGAAACTGTGACTGTCGAGTTTTTTCTTTTGAAATGTTTTCACTAAAGGACTTCATAGACCATCATGTGTACTTTTTATAATAAAGGACTGAGTGGGTTTGAGTTTCCAAGGCAACAGCAGTGTCGTGATGTTTGAGTTTCAGGTGTGTCCCCCCCCGGTCTGATCTCAGGAACTGCTCCATGGCGCTGACTGCCACAGAGTTCCACTTTCCTCGTGTGTGTCTGCGTTAGGTTCACAGCTAAATTTAGCTCCACACAAAGCTAAATAAATAAATAAAAATCCTGGGGTGGGGGTGGAGCTAGGGGACAAAACAAACAGCATCAGGACGGAACTGGAAGAAAAATATGTCCGGAGCTGAAAATCAAACTTAAAACTGGCAAATAAAATAAAATCTGAATTTCATAACTCAAGTTGAAACTACTTTGCTGCATTCTGAAAAAAATAAAATAAACGGTTGATATTTCAGTTTCTTTTTTACAGCATCATGTAAAATGTAAGAAATAACTGTTGTAAAGTTCATAAACCCACATTTAATTAAAATGTAAACAGAATGCTGAGATCAGAAACACGTCTGGAAGAGTTTATTCCAGCGTAAAGTCAGAGGTCGGATCAGAACCAGGAGGAACATTTAGGAACTCCATCATCTTTACACGCTTCTTCCTTTTTGGGTCGCTGGCGCCCATGTCCAGCAGTCACTGGGTGAGAGGCGAGGGACACCCTGGACAGGTCACAGGGACACAGAGACAAACATTCACTCTCTCACACCTAGGGACAATTTGGAGTTACCAGTCAGCGTAACATACATGTTTTGGGTCTGTCGGAGGAAACCGGAGTACCCGGAAAAAACCCACGCATGCACGGAGAGCTCAACGGACGAGGCCCTCAGGGGGCCACTGAACTAAAACCAGGTCTGGTTCTGTTCACACACACAGTTCATCCACAGATGCTGCTTAGAGCTCCATCAGACAAAGAAGCCAGACGTGAACACCATCCAGAACCGCTGCCGTCTTCTCTGGACCAGAGCTCATTTCAAATGGACTGAGGTGAACTCCAGAACTGGTCAGTGGTCACACGTGTCCAAATCTGAAGTTCTGTTTGGAAACCACAGACACCACATCCTCTGGACTAAAGAGGAGAGAGACCACCCAGCCTGATATCAGCTCAGAGGTCTAAAGCCTGCCTCTCTGATGGTATGGGGGTACATTAGTGTCTCTGATATGAGCAGCTGACACATCTGGAAAGACAATGCAGGGAAACATCTACAGGTTTTAAAAAATCTGAAAAATCTGTAAACCTCCAGCAAACAGTCTCCTCAGGTCCTCCCAACAACTGGTCTACTCAAGTCCTGGACATTCACAGACGAGATGCTTCTCAGAGGAAAATGGAGCTGGACAGCTGTGAACAGATGTGTTGACAATAAGTTCTGAATGAGCAGATTTATATTTCTTAAAAATGGTACAAAGTTCTTTGTGTCATCATTCGATGTTTACCGTGTTCTGATGTGAATAAAATATGGGTTTATGAGTCTTGTCCAAATCTTTAGAACCTGACAAACATTGTTTTTTTTTGTTTGTTTTGTTTTAGTTAAAGCTGTGGAGACCTGCAGGTCTCGGACTCCTGGTTCGGTTCCGATCCCCAGCATCGTTACGACAAAAAGAAACGGACTCGTGTTTTAATTAAACTAAACTTTACCAGTTGTTTTGTACAATATTGAACAAGAATCACAAAAAGTGCACAAGAGGCATGGGTTCAACAGGAAGAATGAGACCCGGTTCAGGTCTGTTACAAACAAACAGGGACAGAACAGAAGGAACCTCGGATCAGAACAAACGAGTCCAGAACACGAGCCTCTGATTCCAGCGGGGAAACGCTCGTTATTCTTCCACACGTTGGACAATAAGTCAACATGAGCTGCAGAGGCACAAAATAAATATGAAGAATGAGTCCAAACAAAGGTTTTGTTCACATTATTCACCTGCCGAGCAGCACCAGAACCCCTCATCCAGAAAGAACCACCACCATAACAAAACAAGTGGAAGCACATCACACCTCAGACGTGTTGGTTCTGCAGATGAACTAAAACACAGGAAGGTCCGTTCTAACCGGGTGAGACGGGGTTCTTGTTGTTTCTGAAGGGAAGGTCCTGAGACGACGGTTTACCTTCGTTACACAAATAAAATAAACCGGTTCTGTCCTTCAAGCAGCAGAGAGCCTCAGGATGGACGTGGTTTAGTTTCATCTCACTGGATCAGGAAGGACAGACGCAGATGAATTTGTTGGTACTCCGATCAGAATCTAAATACTCCGACAAAAAGGTCCAGTTTTCTCAGAACCTTTGAAGATCCGTATGATTTAAAACACGATGAATGCTGTGATCAGAAACCTTCACCTGGAGTTCAGCTTGAATGGCTTCTATAGGTCTGATCAACATGGGGTCGCATTTCTTCTTGCGTCCATGTCCTGCGAGGTTGCCCACGGTCCCGTGAACCTTCTACTTTTTAACAATCTTGTCAGCTGTGGTCAGAGGAACCTGAAGCAGCTCGGACACGGTCTTGTAGTCTTTACCTTCAACATGGAGGTCCATAATCAGCTCTGCTCAGTGTGGCGAACAGAACCGACCCAAACGACCCAGAGGCTCTTTGAAGATCTGATGGAAAGCTTGAAGGCTCCTGAGATACCGAAGAAGATCAAACCGGAACAGAATGCGAGGATCAATGGTCTCATTAAAGCCGTGTATTTTAGTGGATCTAATAAATAAACAATAAACAAATCTTTTATTTTTGTTTACTCTGCTGCACACTGAAGACAAACATCAGAGAACGGATTCTCTCGTCTCAACACCAACCAACTCATCTGCGTCCGTTTTCATATCCAGGTTGTCGTCACGGCGATGGTCATCGGTCTCCTTGCCGGGGACTTTCACCCGGAGGCACTTTGTGTGGCGGCCGTTCGTGTGCATAAAACCCAACGTGCGCAAACCGTCAGCTAACACACCTGAGACAGCGGCGAGGCCGCGGCGAGGACGGTCTGCAGAGGGACTTCAAATCGAATTATTACTGGACTGAAAGCAGACGAGCTTCGCCTGCGTCGTTGTTTTTAGCCCTTTACGCTCAAACTGCAGCTTTGAGAGAAGACACAGAATCCAAGAACCCACCACCAGTTTTTAAAGACCCCCACCCCCCCACCTCTGGACACACAGATGAATAAGCTCAAAGTGGGTCTTTTGGTGCCAGCGTCCCTCTATGGGATGGGCTGGCCCCCCTCGACCCCCCCTCCATTTATTAGCAGCAAGAGCTTCAGCCACAAAGATTCTGCCCTGAAGAAATACTTTAGTGAATCCTGCGTCCCCCGTCCCCCCGACCTTTGACCCCTGCAGCTCAGTTGTCGGCACCCAGTTTGGAGAGCCCCTGCCTGAACTCGTGCAGCTCGTCGAGCTTTCCGTCCAGAACGTCCATGAACTTCTTCAGCTCGCTCTTCATGCTGCCTTGTTTCTGTCGGCTGTCGTTGATGTCGACCTGCAGGCCGTCGACTCGTCCCTCCAGCTCCCGGTTCTTCGTCTCTGCAGCCTGCGGACGGACGAAACCGTTTTTAAACAGACACGACTTTCTGAGCAAGAAAAACAGACAAACTGCTCAAACATTCTTTTAAAGTCTCAATTATTAGTTTAATCGTGTGAACGTTTAGAAATCATTCTCACTATTAGATCGTTTTTTTTCCCTCCGTACATATATTGGCACACAACTTGTTACGCAACGTTTGTGTTATTTCAATAACTTGTGTCTCAAAACGTTCGGCTCATTCAGGACATTCCTGCTCAGACTCTCGGTATCTGTGCAATTTTTACTTTTAAAAATTTTTTCCACCATTTTTCTCATTAAAAATGAATAGAGCCCACTTCAAATCTTATAAAACTTTTTTTCTTGCCATTTCAGCATTTTTATGCCACTAATACTTCTGCTAATGCTAATTATTTCCCCCAAAAAAAGTTAATTCTGCGCTGCTTTGTGCTACATTTCTGCTAATTCTACCATTTTCTAAATCTGCCTTAGTTTTTGCTCCGAATACTTTTTGACTTACATCCTGTCCTACCCGGTCGTGCTGCCATTTTAATGCTAATTCTATAAATGTTATTGCGCTAACGCTAATTCTGTTTTGCTCCATTTGCCCTGCTTTATGCTAATGCTTTGCTACTTTTAGCGTTTTTCTTGTGCATTCTGTGTTCTAGCTTTTCACGACTTTTGCTTCTTAGCTTGCGTTGTCTACTGCTGCTTTTTGCTAACTTAGCTACTTCCTCCATTTTCCATGCTTGTTTCAGTTTTTTAACCAATTTTAAATTTTATCTGTAATTTCTTTTAGATTTATTCATTTGTTTATTTACAAATTTACCTTTTCTGTTTTTTTTCCTTTTATTTTTGCTTTTTATGCTTTCAGCTTTTTACCAATTTTCAGCTATTGATGTATTTTCAAGTAAACTTTAGCTCATCTTTAGTAGCTTTTCACAGGAACGACGTCTCTCTGGTTACAACTAAAGACGACACCTGCTCAGGTGCAGCAGGAAGGCGTCACCTGTCAGAGGTTTGAACTACGAGACAAAGGTGAAGCTGTTTTCGTTAAATGTTTTATTTTTGAGTTTGCTGTGGCGGCCATCTTAACATCTGGTCAATCTTCACTGAGTTTCATTAGGATTCCTCCACTGCTTTGTGGGATATTTTGCTAACAGACAAACACAGGTGGAAACAGCGTTTCCCACTTTTCAGGCTGGCGGGTGACGAACAGAAGTTATGGAAGTTGGAAATTATCTTTCAGCGAGTAGCAGGACAGCAGAGGCAGGTCCAGACCAGCAGGCGACAGGAACGTGTTTCTGAAGGCTCTGCCAGCCTGACTGATCCTCAGCTGAGTCCTGAAACCAGACCTGCTCCTGGGGGGTGGGTATGTATGGGGGGGGGGGGGTCTTTAAATAGAGGTGAACCAGACAGAAGTCTGAGAGCTGAGCACGTTGGGTCACGAGGAAAAGCTTCAACGCAGCTGCAGAAATACGATGTTGCTGAAATATCTGGTAAAATCTTACTAAACTGACTAGACACACAATCAGAAGATAAAAACTAAAACTAGCAGCATGCTAGCTGATAGAAAGATAATTAAAATGAACAAATTAGCTAAAAACTAGTAGCTAAAAGTTAAATTAACTAAACAAGCTGGAAACAAAAATAAGTAAAACAGATAAAAAGTTGAACCACCTACAGAAGCTAAAAGATACAAATTAACCAAGTATGAAGATTTTAAAAAGGACAAAGTTTTTCAGGGATTTGAAAAGTTCCTCCATTTCAGTCCATCCATCCATCATCTGGTTCTGGACTCTGTCTCGGGGGCAGCAGCTGGATCAGGGAGGTCCAGCCACCTCTTCCAGCTCTTCTGGAGGACTCCAAGGTGTTCCCAGACCAGCTGAGAGACTAGTCAGGGTGTCCTGGGTCTTGCCCGGGGTCTCCTCCCAGTTGGACATGCACAGAACACCTTTCTAAGGAGGCGTCCAGAGTCCATCCTTACCAGATGGACCACCTCAACTTGATGTGGAGGAGCAGCAGTTCTACTCTGAACTTCTCACCTGATCTCTAAGAAAGAGTCCAGCTCCCCCTGCAGAGAGAACTCATTCAGACCTCCTGGATCCAGGATCTGGTTCTTTCAGTCTCTACTCAGGGTTCAGGACCACAGGTGAGGGTAGGAACGTAGACCGACCCGTAAACAGAGAGCTTCTCCTTACAGCTCAGCTCCCTCTTCACCACAACAGACCGGCACAGAGTCCACAATACTTCAAAAGTTGCATCAATTTGTCTGTAGCTCTCTCGCTCCATTCTTCCCTCACGGAGAACAAACCCAGATACTTGAACTCCTCCAATTGAGACCGAACCTCACCCTGGAGAGGAGAGTCAATCTTCTGTCTCAGGACCAGGGCCTCAGATCTGGAGGTTCTGATCCGTCTAAGCTTGTTTTCAGTTTGGACACCTGACTGAATGAAGATTCATCCAGCTGGCATTTAGAGAAACAGACCCGACAGGAAAGTTCTGTAAAGCTCAGGAATGTCACGCCGGCTCATCAGGACAGCTGAAATAATGAAATCCTGTTCCGAGTCAGGTTTGAATGAGTCAGTCGGCTCGGAGCAAGAAGTGCGGCTGCGTCGGACTCCGGCACAAACGGCTCTTCTGGTTTTACAGAAAGTCCAGAATTACTCACAGAAACATCAGCTCTGAACGACACGAGGTGAATCTAAGTCAGACGTACAAAACAAACCTGACAAACGCAACAGAGTTCAGTATTTATAAAACCTGAGAACTAAAGATTGGATTCAGTTCTTTGGTTTTACATACAGGACATAAATACTGGGATTGATGAAAGCTGAAACTGAGCTGTTATAAACTAGCCAAACACACAGCTAAAAGCTTAATTTAGCAACAGACTAGCTGAAAATCTAAAGTAACAAAAAGCTAAAAGCATTAAAATGATTCAATGTATTTCAGGGGAAATATTTGTAAATAAAGTTAATTATTTTGAAATGAGCCGAACATTTTGATGTGCGAACAGCTAAAAAAGCACAAAGTCTGCAGGAGAAGCCGAGAGTAAAAACCACACAGAAAAAAAATAACTACAGAGATTAAATAATCTGGTTTTGACCGGGTTCTAAGATTATACTAAACCACTGTTTGTGGTCCTGGACTCTAACTGGACCGTTGGTTCTGTTCAGTGTTGCCAGGTGAGATGTAAGATCATCGTACTAGAGACATAAAATGATCTTGTCGTACACCCATCATAACCAGAATAACAAATCTATTGATGCACTATAGTAGTGATGGGTCCGCTTCCAGACTGGTCAAATTATCGTTTATTTGGCCTTTTGGGGGATTATTGATCGTAGATTGTACAGAGGGCAAAATTGTAGTGCAAATATGATAATTATTGTACACCTGGCAACACTGGTTCTGTTGTTTCTGATCCGTTCTGTTGTAGATCAGATGCTGTGTTTGGATCATGGTTTTTTGGACCCAGTTTGGTCCAAGCTTCAGCTGTTGGGACTCCAGAATCCTTTGGTCTCCAGAGGAGTTCCTGGTCCACTCAGTGACTGAAGGAGACCAAACCATCAGCCTCCACCACTGTGCTGACAGCTGGGAGGAGCGGTTTGCTGCAGTGCATTCTGGGTAAAAGTCTGCCTTTTGCTCTGGTTCTGGTCCAGAAGTTTTGTGGTTCCTTCAGATGAAACTTTCCAAACCTAAGTTTGGAAAGTCAAGTTGCCATGTTGTTGCCAAGAGAAGAGGTCATTGACCTTTGACCTACTGACTGATGCCTGTAAAGTCATTGCACAGTCTGACCTTCAGGGTGAATTATCAGCCACCTTCAATGTTTTCCTCCTGTGAATATGTCTGTAGAACGATGGACTCCAGACAGTTAGGAAATTACCTTTGACCCTTCTCTGATCGACCGGCAGCAGCAGCGGCTTCTCTGAGGTTATTGCTGAAGTTTTTCCATCTTGGCATTGGGTCAACACACCCCTGTAAGCTGCAGAGCAGCAATCTTCAAATCAAAAATTTAGAAAGTTTGGTCAAAGGGATTGTCAAAGACCGTTTTGTCCTCATGACTCCTGGACCTTTTCAGTTCAGAGACAGAACCTGGACCTGCAGGAACCTGAAAAGCTCAGTGAGCCTCCATGGAGGAGGGGCAGGAAACCTTCAAAGAGGCAGTAATCCTCTCCATGTTGTGTTTTATTAATAGATACAGTAACAGCAATGTGAGCCCCTGGAACATGTGACGGGGGTGTTGTGTCATGGCGGACGCATGAATAAGAAAGTCTTAAAGTGCTGTTTCGCCTCCAAGCCGGAGCTTTTGTACGGCGGCGGTCGTGTCGAGGCTCCGTGACGTAAACCAGAGCAGCAGAACCGCTGCGTCGGACTCACCTTCAGTTTGGCAGTGATGCTCTCACACTCTCCCACCAGCTGAGGGATGATCTCTGCCTGCTTCCTCAGGTTCTCCAGCTCCTACAAAAAACATTCAAATGAAGGAAAATTAGAATATAAACTTAACGTTAGAAGATTAAAAATGATTAAAAGGATAAAGGATTAATGAGGTGTGTTGGATATTAAACTGTCAGTCACATAAACTAAAGTTTTTGTTGAACTTCTCTTGCAATTAAAAACCAAACCATCAGATTGATCCAGTTTTTAACGTATTTAAGCTGCAGATGGTGTGACGTCGTTAACGAGGTTTGACTCAGTCATCTGTCAGCATGAAATTCGTTCAGAGACTTTTCATTTAATATTTTGATTTTAAATTATTTAATTTCTTTGCCGCTCTAAACCAGAACCATCACCTCTGTAATCACTTTGTGTCGTTTCATGAGTACAGAAGAGCAATACATGGAATATTTTTGGAGTTTTTGTAGAAGTGAGCAGATTTATTTCCCTCTGCGTCGACGCCGCAGACAGTCTTTAATAATTCAGACGTTTGTCTTTAATCCGAGGACGTGACGACGTGGATCTGGGGTCGCCTGCTGCGTCACCGCTCCTCACACAGCTGCTCGGCATTCGGAACAATATGGCCGACGGTGCACCGAGAGCTGGTGATCTTTCAGCATCAGCTCAGGCCTCTGAACGGTGACGGTGAAACCTCGCAGCATCCGGAGAAAGATGCTCTAATAATGTTCTGCCTGTCGGGTCAGAACCCAGCATCTTCCAGACGCAGTTTCCCTCAGGCTGTCTGAAAGGCTCCGCACACAGAGCCGCCTTCAAGGTTTAAAAATAAAACCAGTTTAATGTTCCTGGATGTTTCAGAGAAAATAAAGCAACGCTTGTTCTCAGCTCAGGTTTAACAAACAAATTAAAAAAAAAGACATTTATGTCTTTAACTAAAACTTTTCATCAAATACGATGCCTCCTTTAAGGAATGCACGTCACCCGTCAGGTATGAGCTTTAAAGTTCCTGTAATCTGTTAGAGCTCCGTTTGTGTGTCTGGGTCGACTCGCAGCAACTACCACAACAAATTTGAGTTCAAAATCTGTTAAATCCACAGTTAAAACCGTCTTTGTGTTGGCCAAGTCCAGCTAACTTGATTCAAGATGGCCACCATAGCCAGCTCCAGATCAGTTGTAGACACGTGTCCGGTGATCCATTTGGGAGTTTCATTAAAATCCGTCCAGTAGTTGAGATATTTTGCTTACAGATAAATGGAGACACACAGCAGTTACATGATTGCCCAGTTTTCAACAGGTGATACAGGGGCTGCTGGGGGGGGGGGGGGGGGGCACAATACCTCCATTTTTATTTGTTTATTTAATTTTGTTTTTAAATTAAATGACAAAATAGTCAAAGTAGAAAAACAAGGTTTATAATATTGAATGTTCTTTAATACGTAGATTTCTACCAGTTATTATTATAACTGTGTTCTGGGACCTGGGTGTGTGTGTGTGTGTGTGTGTGTGTGGGGTGGGAGGGGTGAAAGCCACTGGTTTAAAATCACCTTCAGCTTAAAAAAAAATACAACTATGAGAAACAGTGGATAGATGGTTAAAAATAAGGTTTGATTTATTTTAGTCATATTTAATAAAAATCATAAAAATCTCAATATTAAAATCAGCTTATAAACTGATAGGCAGCATGAAGGAATGAATTTATCACAAATTCTTCTTACATGACCAAAATCTATGTTCACTGAGAAAAAAACAAGCTCTCGTTGAAAATAAACACACAAACACGTGTGTGTAAAAAATTGTCAGTTTGTTTCTTTTAACAAGTTTAAACTGATCGTTTCGTTTCTGCAACAGAGACACGACCAGCTCCAAATTAGATTTTTCTTTGAGCTGATTTGAACAATATTTTCTTCTAAAAACCTTTTGGACTTGATGTCAGCGTGCACCAATATTGTCAATACATCTTTATTTTCAAATCAAATTTTCTTTTGAAAATGTTAAAGTCCTTTAAGAAGAAACTTTTTCGCCTCGGACTTCTAATTCTCCTTACATGAAGGTCGGGTTAACGAACGATCTCTGAAAACCAGAGCTTCTTGAGTCTGGCTCTAAAAACCGGGTCTGCAGTCAGGCCAGGACGGCTTCGAGAGGAAGTGTCGAACTGACAGCAAATTAGAGACCGGGTAAAAATAAGCTGAAACAGAACCGGAGCCGTAATCAGAGGTTTACAGTCTACAGAAGCATTAATCACAGCTGCAGAAATGACCGTGTGTGCAGAGTTCTGCTGGCACCGAGCAGCTCTGAGGAACAGAACCAACACATTCGGACTTGGCACAAAGAAATCATCGTTTCTGTGACAACAGAACGTGGAAAGAACTCAGAGCACCTTCTGTAGGTGGAACTTATGGCATAAAACTGATCAAAGAAGAAGAAAACTGGACTTTGGTTTAGAAAACATTTTGAGGTCAGATGTGGTTCTGGTGGTTTTTTAAACTACAGACCATTCTTTATTTTCATTTTTATCTAAAGCCGATTAAAATTTTCAATTTAAAAACACATTTTAACCCCTTGAACAATAATTATCTCTGATGAGTTGCAGTCAGGGTTTAGAGAACATTATAGAACTGATGTACAGTAAATGATCCGTTTGTGTGGTGGTTCTGTTGGACCTTCAGCACCTTCAACCACAAATTTTCTGGATCAGGCAGTACAACATTAGCTTGGTTTAAGTGATATTTCTCTGACAGAATCCAGTTTGTACTCGATTAGTGTGTCTTCTTCACATATTTGACTTAATCATGGTGTTCCCCAGGGTTCCGTTCTCAGTCCAGCCTTTTTTCCCTTTACATAAGTTTCAGTTGTGCTTTACCATCAGGAAATATCACTGTATGCTGATGTAGATTAACATATTCTGTGATATGTTCATAAATTAAACGGATTCATTCATTTTTCTGGACTGAATAATATCGTGCATTGAATTTAATTAAATGTAACGTGAGACGTTAATTATCTTTGACCCATCAAATGAATGTGGTCATTTATTAACAGAATCAAGTTTAACATCAAACATTTACATTAATTTGGCAAATTGAAAAATAACAACATGGCTTAGTTAGCTAGTTTTACAAGGAGGAAACCATACGGCCATGGTTTCCCCATTTCAAACTGTACACCAGACATTTCTAAAAATATCTGGAATGATTTCTAGCAGATAGAAGAGTTTAAAGATGGAAAGATGAAGTTTAGAGGGAGGGAGATGGTGTGTGAGGTAAAGTGTTGAACAGAACGGCACCCTCCATTCGAACCCAGCTTTCCTCGGTACGCTCGGTAGTAAACTCGACTCATTACCTCTCTGACGATGAATCAGCGGATACGGAGTTCCAGTTAACGCTACCGGTCCAGCGTCTCCGTAGGATGGCAGAGAACCGTCCGGAGTGGTGGCGGGACTTCATCAACAACAGTTCACCTCACGAGTGGACTCACATGAGTGGAGTCCTTCAGAAGTTCCACTCAGATGTGGAAGATTGCATAATTCCCACAAGACTCGGAAGAGCTCCGGATCATGTCTGCACTCCTGTTCTCTCCAGCACTTCTCAGTTCGGCTTGCTCTCCGAACTGAACTCGACCGCAACTCGACCGCAACTCGACTGGAGCTGCTCTCTGCAAACGACTGAAGCTGGTTTGAACTAGGAAGTACCGACATTTAAAGAGTTCTATTTCCGGTTCATTTGGGAGGTTCCTGATTGGTCAAATCGACCAGACAGGGGTGTGTTTTTGTGACGTAAGAGGTCACTAGAAGTCAGAAAAACAGAAAATGTTTTGGAGCAGATTGAAAATGTTTTAGAGACAGACAAGAGAAATGTTTGGACGAGTTGGGTGAAAACAGGTGCCAGCTTCTCTATATTACGTCTGAGAGGATTTAAAAACATGACAGTTCGTTCCAACAACTTGTTTTCGACCTTTGACCAACTTCACAATTTGCTCATTTCAGGCAGAAGATCAGAAAATGCATGAATTACTCCGTAACACATTCCAATTTGATTTCCACTTTGAATGAGGATTAAAATCACTAATACTGTTTCACAGTTGATTAAAAATGATTTGTTCACTTCAACATTTAAAAATGGTTTGAACTAAACACACTTTGATTATCAAACATTTGTAAAATAGTAATGATAATAAAAAAAGAGAGTGTTCTTTCAATTGATCAGTGCAGGACACTTAGAAAGTCTCTGGATAAACTTAATCTTGTGTTTCTGGACTCAAATCAATGAAATACAGTTCTTGTCCCAGGAAGCTCAGATTTGACCTGAGGCTTAGTTCACTACACTGACGACACTCTGTTTATCAGTACGACCAGATGAATAAGCTTCTCTAGTTGAGGGCTCGTCTTGGAAACACAAAGAACTGGAAGTTTTGTACTTTTGTTGTTGTTAAGTTCAGATAAAACTAAATTCATGATCTTTGCCTCTAAAACGAAGAGGTGACAGTCCAGTTGTATAAAAACTTGCAACAGAATTAATATAGCCTGCGAATCTTCAAATTGCTTTACGATGGCCTTTTCTTCAACTTTCATATTTAAACAAGTCTCAAACTACTTTTTTCATCTTTGTAGCATCGTTAAAATTTAGAATAAACTCGTTTAAAGCGATGCTGAAAAACTGACACGCACCTTCATCATGATCAATTCCAGAAACTGGACATAAGATGGACAATAAATCATGATTACAACAAAGCAGACTAAAAAACGTTGCAAAAAATATATATAAAAAAGGTAAATCTTTGCACATATGTTGTCCAAATGAAACACATTGACAAGTTTTTGGTTTTCATTTGTAAAGAAACAAAAAATAGCGTCTCTGCAGCAGAAATAAGTCTCAAACTTCTCTGAAGAACGAGGTGTTTGAATAAGTTTGTCATTGAAAAGGTGGAATCTTAATTTTTATAAAATACCAGCTATAACTGAATAACAGATTCTAGCTTTAACATCCGTTTAGCTAATTGTAGCTAAATAGCATGTTTCTTTTTACTTTCAGCTTCTGTTCTGCTAATTTTCAAATCAATTTTTTGACGCAACACATTTAGGAACAACTGCCATTTTAACTGCATCATCTGGTTCTGATTTTACTTTAAGTTTTTCTTCAGCCTCCTTTCTGCTCGTTTTAACTTTAACATTTGAATTTCAGTGTCAGACGAGTCCACCAGCACCCAGCGGTCACACAGTTTCGAATAAAAATCAGAATGTAGTGAGTTTTCTGTTTCTACTTAAGACAGGAAGTGATGTTAATGACAGGAAGTGCCGTTTGTAATTTCACAGATTCAGGGACTTGTTTTAAATTTTGTCAACATTTGAGCATTACTGAATGACGTCGGTAAGAAAATCTGTGAAGATGGATTCACTGTAGTGAGGAAACGTTCCTTTTTGTTCTGACCTTTGACCCCTTGACGAGCTCTGAAGCCTCATTTGAAGGGCAGAGCCAGTTTTAAGACAAACATGCTGCAGACTCACCTGCTCCTTCTCCTGCACCTCAGCCTCCAGCTCCTTCACTCGGACGGCCAGCTGGGCGTTCTTCTGTTTCTCCTTGTTGGCGTCGTTACACTGAGCCTCAAGTTCTGCAATCTGAACAAAAACAAAGATTACACCGTTTGTCAATCTCTAAACGGTATTTGCTTTAAAGCATGACAGATTCCTAGAGTACCTGTCACTTCCTGATGAGTGGATATTTCACAGGTTATAAATATTTTAATTTATTAAAAGCGGCAGCGTTGATGCAACACCAGCCCAGCTGCAGAAACAGCCCACGTTGATTATGAAACTAAAATCTGTCTATTTTTAGTCACTCAGCCTGAGCGCAGGAGCTGATTGTGACGTTCTGACTCGTCACAGAGAGCTCAGACATAAACTGATCAAATCTGATGAATCTTTCAACCTGATCAATTGATTTTATTAGTCATATGAAAAATCAAGTCCTCTCAGTTCTGGGGTGTCAGGTCATAATAAAATCTTTACTGGGCTCTGAAATGATCCAGATCTAACATGAAGTAAATAAAAACAACCAGTTCCACTGAGTCTTTATTTATTAAACTGAAACTGGTTCCAGCTCCTGACCAAACAAAACCTCCTTCAGAACTTTGAAGCCTTTGATCTACAGAGGAGTTCCTGGTCCACTCAGAGGCTGACAGGAGCCCAAACCATCAGCCCTCCACCACCATGCTGACATATGGGAGGAGCTGTGTGCTGCAGTGCATTCTGGGTAAACATCTGTCCTCTGGTCTGGTTCTGGTCCAGATGTCTTGTGCTTCCTTCAGATGAAACTTTCCAAACCTGCAGAGCTGCCATGTTCTTTTTAGAGAGAAGAGGCCATGACCTTTGACCTTGACTGAGACCTGTAGAGTCTCTGCATGGTCTGACCTTCAGGGTGAATCATCTCTCTCTGTAGAACGATGGACTCTAAATGACCTTTGACCCTTCCCAGGTTGATGGACAGCAACAACTACTTCTGAGGTCATTGCTGATGTCTTTCCATCTTGGTGTCGTGTTAACGCACTCCTGGATGCTCCAGATCTGAGGTGGTCCCCCTGATGAGGTTCATTTCATCAGCAGCACCTGAACCTCTGAGATCCTGTGGGAGCAGCAGGTTTGGAACCAGTTTTTGTTGAATGAATAACGACTCGGTGGAACCTGTTCAGTGTTTTTCTTCACAAAACGTTTGAATCGTTTTAGAACCAAGTCCTGATCCATAAAACCCTAGAAGGGTGGACTTTTGATTGTGGGTCAATCAAACTTGTTGTCAGAATCTAATAATTCTTGCGGTTCTTTCAGGGATGACGCCGCCGTCACGACTGATGCGTCTGAGTTGACTCCGCCTCCTGCAGGTGACTCTTGCTGCCTCACCTTCAGCCTGAGCGCGTCGCTCTCTTCCTTGCAGGCGTTCAGCTGCTTCTTCCAGCTCTCCACATTAGCTGAAGACTCCTGCAGCGCGTCCACCAGCCTGGCGTTGTTTTCTCTTAACGTCTGAAGCTCCGTTTCCCACTTCTTGGCGTTGGTGTTGCTGCCAGACAGAAACAGACCCGGAGACATAATGAGTGTTAATCATGGAGGTGATATTTAGCCTGCTAAGTGTTCAAACCGCTGACACGGCTCAGAACGCTGCAGGGATCTTACTGGACTCGTTTAGTCTTCAGATGGTCAGAAAAGCAGAAATCGGAACATTTTAAATGTCAAATACGTCTCTTTATGTTTAAATTCAGATTATTATCCTGTTTCAGGCTCAATAAGGAGGTCATGATTTGAATTTGTCCTGCAAGGCTGTTTGCTTCCGTTTCCATGGGTGGGTCCAAATGTTCTACAATCCAACAAATGTGGCCCAGCTGGCGCCGCAGCATTCTGCAGTCCTGATCAGACGCACTGCGAGACACGTCCACAAAGACGACCTGAAGACACGAGAAGGGCCGAGGAACAGACCTGACCGGAGCTTTCAGCAGAAACAGGAAACAGATGTTTATATTCGGAGTTTCATTAAAATGCATGGTTGCTGAGATATTTTGCTAACAGACAAACTAATGAGCACTCAGTTGCATGATTGCCTTTTTCACGTCAGCAGGTGATGAGGGTCGAAGGAAGACGACAGTTCTACCGTCGTAATTTCCACTTGAATTTATTACACAATGTGCGTAAAAATAAAACGTGAAGATAAATGTGCGTTGACCAAAGGGGGTTTTTGTGTCCCAGACAAATTAAATTAAATCTGTTAAACAACTTTTTAAAAGAAGCCCAGTCTAAAAAATAATGAACAAACAAAAAGGAAATTAAAACCTTGTCCTGCAGCAGCGGCTCGTTCAGCTCCGACGTTTCAGAGGAAACGCTGCTGATCAAACACTGGACTCCGCCACCTTCAGCTGGATCCACAGCTGGCGTTTCATCCAATTACTGATCTCCACACCGAGCAGATGGATTACAGAAACCAGAGATCCTGACGGGGGTAAAACCTCACGCACTCCTCACAGGAGATCAGGAGGAAATATGATCTCAGAACCGACAATTTGAAAACGAACAACATTTGAGCACCGACTGCTGTCGAGACTAAATTCATCTGAACCGTTGTGGTGAAGATGGAGCTGAGCTGCAAGGAGAAGCTCTCTCGTCTTCATTCCTACCCTCACCTATGGTCCTGAACTCTGGGTAGAAACTGAAAGAACCAGATCCTGGATCCAGGAGGTCTGAATGAGTTCTCTTTGCAGGATAGCCGGACTCTCCCTTAGAGATCGAGAGAGAAGTTCAGTTCTCCAGAAGAGACTCGGGAGTAGAACCGCTGCTCCTACACATCCAGAGGAGACAACTGAGGAGGTTCATCTGCTAAGGATGGGCCCTGGACGCCTTCATAGGGAGGTGTTTTGGACACGTCCAACAGGGAGAAGATCCAGGACACTCTGGAGAATGCCTCACAGCTGTTCTGGAAACGACTTGGAGGCCTCCCAGAAGAACTGGAAGGGGTCTGGAAATCCTTGATCAAACTGCTGCCCCAAGACCAGAGCTTAATTTGTAAACCACTCGATGCTGGAATGCAAATAGTGGGCGGGCTGGCGAGTGGCACGAGGGAGGAGGGGTCAGTGGTTCATTTGAGCCGGATTGATTATTTATTAAAAATACAATGAGAGGAGACGTTGCCTTTAGCCCGGTGGACCCAGTCTGTGGATGTTGCAGCCGCAGCTCGTGCAGCGCAGTCACACGCTCCTTCGAGGAGCAGGAGAGGAGCTGGGGGGTGAGGACGGAGGGACAGATGGTCTTACGCACAGAGATTCTGCGCAGAGTCCTTCTCTCCTTCTCCTCTCCAAATATTGTCCCTCCTCAGCGGGGCCACGCACTGAAACCCCCCCCACCCTCCTCTCAGACCCCCGAAACAGAAACAATCATTTATTCAACAGAATAAATAAATGCCCTGTGGACAGTGCACGTTATGCACAGAAACGTCTCCAGACAGCTGTAGCGCACGCACAACATCAGCAGGTGTCTGAACTCCTGCTACATTTCAGACATGATAAATAAATAAAAACTTACTGTAAAAAATAAAATTAAAAATACAAAGAGATAAATGTTTGATGCGTTATTCACATTATACGTCATGTGTCAAAACAACGGCGCTAATTTGTCAAAATAACAAAGAGCGATCAAAACGTCAAAAATACAGTCCATTTACTTTAATAAAGGATGGATGGATGGATGGATGGATGGATGGATGGATGGATGGTCCTTAGTTGGACAAGAGAGAATTGAAGCCCTCAGGTGCTTCAAACGGTGCCACGAGACTGGAGCAGGAGCGGAGAAGAGTTCAGCTCAGATCCGGGGGGGAGCAGGGGGGTTAGGACACCTGACACGATGCCCTCCAATTCACACACAATCTGCTGTTCCTCTCCAAAATAGTAATTTTATTAAGTGTTTACAAATGTAAGTAAATGTTGATGTATAACAACCCGTTAAAATACACCAAAATGCAGGAAATGACATCTCTGTTATTCACAATTTTCTGCCATTTTGATCGCTGTTATTTTGACAAATTAGTGCCGTTGTTTGGATACGTGACGTAGTGTGAATAATACACAAACATTTCTCTTGTTGTAATTTTAATAAATAATCAAAATCTTATTAATAAGCTGTTTGAACTGTCAAACGGATTTGCAATTTATTTGTGCTGTTTAACTATATTTTTGAGTTTTTTTAAAATAAAAATGCACGACGGCTTTGGACTTTTAGGGGCGGAGATTTGAATTACCGGATCCGAGCAAACAGTTTCCGGAACGCACCCTGTCAAAATAAAAGAGTTCCCAGATCTTGTTCTGCCAGGACCAAGCTCAGATTAAACCGTGCCCAAGACCTGAGTTCAGAACCAGATGAAGGATGGACGGACTCTTACCTCAGCTCTACGGCGGACTTCAGACGTTCATTCTCACTCTTCAGCTGAGTAGCTTCTGGACTGACGTAGGAGATCTTTTCATCATCTGTCCCGTTGAAGCTGGACGCCTGGTCGGCCGAAGGCGTCTCTCGACCCGACTCCTGTAAAAGACCCAGAGACAAACTTCACCTCCAGCTCCTGAACGTCTTAAACCCGTAGACAACGACAGGTTCCTAGTTTCACCCAGCAGGTCTGGGTATCAGGACTGAGTTTGGTTTCTGGTCTGAGAAAATTCAACATTTCTTTCTGTGGAGACCTGTTTCTGTGACTTCCTGCTCCCCCTCAAGATGACCTTTGACCTTTGAATACTCAAATTAAAGAGTGACATTTTCAGAGTTAAAAGTAAAAACATCTGTCTCGTTACATCTGGGTATAAAACAGCTCAACGGTTCTTCTATGAAGTCCTGCAAGTTTTCTTCCTGTAGTGGCAGGAAGTGACCTTATAAGGAAGAAGCCTTCAACCAGAAGTCAGGTGTTTTTTTTACCTGAGAGTTATTACTCAACGTCTCCCCCTTCTCTTGAGATTTGTCCCTCGCCAGCTTGGCTGCATCTTTTACTTCCTCGAACTTCTCAGAAAACTGAAAAACAAAAACGTGGCAATATTTTAACTGACAATAAAAAAAAATAAAAAAAAACACTGATCATCAGTAAAAGTGTTGGGAAATTATTTTTTTCCATCTAGAATCCTGATCAGCACCACGGTTGTGCACCAACACGTCTGTGGCTCAGGAGAACTGAATAAATCAACAGATTTTAAATCGGATCTTGTGACTCCAAACGTGTTCGGTCTCACCTTTGACAGCTGCTGCTCTGAAGCGAAGCCCAGTCCGAACACGGTGTTGGCCCGGCTGTCGGCCCACTGACCGAACTTCTGGGACGTCTTGGTGAACGTCATGTTGGGCGTGATTGTGCTGTTGATGATAACCTGTCAGGAGAAAAGCAACAGATTACGCCGGATCACACAAAGTCAGCTGGACCTTCTGATTTCAGGGCCAGTTGATTCTAGTCAGCGAGCCCGATCCACCATCGGCTTTTCACTCCAATGGACCGTTTGGGATGAAAGAAGAAACATTTGATTTAAGCTCTAAACCATCAGAAGCCCTCCTCCTGAAGTGGACTTTCTACCTGTTTTTTTTTTATATATATAAATCTGATCATCAAGATGATTTTGGCGTCCCTGAAGGGTCCAAATCTTGTTCATCAACTCGGGTTTAAAACAGAAAAAAACAAAAACACCAGAAAGTGCCAACTTCCTGTCCCTCCACCTGCCTGCTGACCCACTAACATTTCAGTTTGATTCTGGTCTATATTTGTCTCAGAAGCTGTTCTCTGTTTGGTGACCAGGTGTCCTGCTTCATCTGGGACTGCTCAGGCCCTCGTCCCACAAAACGAGACGTCGTCCCACATTTTCAGGTTGGAGGTGTTTCTGAACACCGACCCGTCTCAGTCCGAGGACAGAACCTAAAGGCAGCACGTGTTAATTTCTCCCAACAATTAAAGCAAGCGGAGCAGACGGTATAATCTCAGAGCAGCTCTGGTTTCGTAGCAACATGGCTGTGAACACAAACTGCTGACAGACTCGTGTCCTTCCCTACGCCTCCACCAACGCCCTCCACCTTCTGAGAGGCTGAGGTGTTGAAAACACTTTCACTGGTAAGAACCGGACCTGAAGCAGACTGAGCTAACAGGACGAGGAAGAATATTACAAAACCCCGTTATCGGCCGCGAGAGACACAATCTGACACCTTTTTATTGTCAGGAACATCAAACTGCAGTGATTCTTTAAGACGGCTTTAATTTTTAACAATCCGCCACCGGATCAGGTTCTGGATGCTCCTTCAGAGGATTCAGCAAAGCTCACGTGACCCGGTTCACCCCGAAGGGGAACCTGGACGACTCGCAGTAGCAGATCAGAGAGAAAAGTTCAGATGAGATCAAACTTTGATGGATGTCGTTGGCTGCGAGTCGAACAAAAAAACAAATTCATTCATTCATTCAACCTTTATTTAGACAGGTGAATCCCATAGAGCCTCGGGGAGAAGGCCCTTTTGCCAAGTTCAGTCCTCACTGAGGGAACACTGCATGTAATAATGTCCTGGGAGCGCACGCTGTAGCTGCACTCACGCAGTGACATGTAGGAAGAGATGTATGAAGGCAGCAGACCAAGACGTGATTTAAAGATGAAAATGTACCAGTGAGAGAGTCTATGTGAAGTTAATGATGACCAGTTAACCAGTGAATACAAGGTGCAGAGAGTCAGAGAGAGTCAGAGATTCTTTATTGTCATTCGCGTCACGTGTGGCACATATGGTGGAGCGAAACTATGTACACAGGGTCCCAGTTGCGTCCAACAATACTAAACCAGTGCAGTGTTGTGTACGATAGTTACAGCCAGTTATGAATCTTAGCGCACCATGATAGACACATCCAACATCTGCAGGGTGCTTGTAGGAGCGTTCATATAGATAATAATGTCACCGTAGTCAATGGAGAGAAGGAAAGTCAGTTACAAGGCGTTTCCTAGCATTCAGAGTTAGACAGGATCTATTTCTGAAAAACACTGTTTAACTTTTAATTTCCTTACTAGGTTTTCCATGTGAAGCTTAAAAGAGAGATGCGAGTCAACCAAGATACCCAAATATTTATAGGAATTGACAAACTCAATAGAGACACCATTTGAGGATAAAATCAGAGGAAGAACTGCTGGGACTAATGTCCTGTTTGAAAAAAAGCATCCCTTTGGTTTTATTGGCATTTAGGACAAGTCTGAGACGGAACAAGTCTGACTGGATGATGTCAAAGGCAGACTGCGAAAACTGGAGAGCCTTAGCAACTGTTTTCGCTCAACAATAAACAACTGTGTCATCAGCATAGAAGTGTAAAGATGCGTCAAGGATGCTCTGACCTACATTACCTATGTAGATTGTAAAGAGGGTGAGTCCTAAGACTGAGCCTTGTGGTACACCATTGTTGATTGTTAAATAACTGGAGGAAGTACCATTATGTTGAATACATTTCCTCCGATGTGAAAGATGGAGAACCAACCACTGGTATGATCTGAAAAACCAATTTCTGAGAGTTTATGACAAGATGCCATAGTCCAGTGCCAAAAGCTTTAGACAGGTCTAAAAAAGTGTGGCACAATAATCCTTAGCATCCAGTGCTTCAACAATGTCATTAAAAACATTCAGTGAAGCAGTTGTTGTGCTGTGTTGTTTCCTGAAAATAGAATAATTTGGTAAACAACTTCTATGAGGCTTAGCGGACGTAAATAAAAACACTAAGCGCAGAGTTTACAAACCAAAAACAGTAAACAGTGACTATAAACACGTTGGGAGGCAAACATCTGCATTATCCTTCCCTGAAGAAAAGCAAATGGTGGGCACTAATGGTCTTGCCCGTGTCAGACCTACGAAAAGACAAACTGGCTGCTCCGCTGCACGTTTCACAGACACCGAGATGAACTCTGGGTGGTAGTAGCTGAGAGTCGTCCTCAGCGCTGACAAGACACCGCTCTGCAGGAATGAAACCGGGAGGGTGAGGCAGAGGCGGTTTGGGGGGGTCGAGTGACGCCAGCAGCTGATGGCAGCAGATCAGGTGACCCGCGAGGCGCCGAGCTCAGCTGAGTGTCAAGCAGAACTTCAGCCTCGACCCAAAGAGTTGTTGTTGGGAGTTTTTTTAATAAATAAAATAAAAATCACTTTTTAAATTTAAAAAAATATTTAAATCTCTACTTTTCAACTTGACTTTGACCTGCTTATCAAAGTGTTTGGACTCCAGCGGTCCAACAAATGAACTGCTCAAACAGACGGGCTGAAGATGTTTGGAGCGGCGTGATGAAAACCTCCAAACGAGGGAGACGGGAACTCAGGCTGCTTGTTTTATGGTGAAACCACATTCTGCTGACAAGACAAGGAGTCAGCCGATCAGCCACTCTCTCACCTGGTTCCTCTGATGCAGAGATGTGGGTTCTAGCAGAACTCCAGCTTGAAACAAATGCAGCTTTACATCCAGCTGCTGATGTTTCTGCAGCTGCTGATGTTTCTGCAGCTGCTGATGTTTCTGCAGCTGCTGATGAGCAGCGTTTTTACATTTGGTTTATGACCACTTTGCAGCTTCAGGTGAACTCTGACCTGGTTCAGAGTGTTTGCACCTTAGTCCCAACAGGTAATTGTTTTGGACAAAGTCTCACCTGAGCCAGACCAACACCTGATCCAGCAGGTCCACCTGTGGTTGCTGAAGATCCCAGTTGTGTTAAAACGGCTCCTGAACTCAAATAATCAAAAGGAACTTCACATTTTTACTCCCTCAGTCAAATAATTTCTCTATTTCTGGAATCGATTCTCACTTCAGAGGAGATAAAATTTGTGAGTTACCTAATTATTTAGTTTGAAACAGGAACTTGGATTATATCTTTTGTATTTGTATTTAAAGTACTAGAACTGAACATTCCGAGTTTTTTTAATAAATGTGGTGAAAATGTGACTTTAAAGTTTCACAGCAAATTTTTATTGCTGTGAGGAGCTGAATGTGGAGCTTGATAACCGTCAACATTCCCAGAAATACACCCCCACCCCCCACCCCCGAGATGACAGAAACCTAGAAACCTAAACAGTCCATCACCACGAACACCTCAAATCAATGGTCCAGCATGGCGGTGGAGGGCAGATGGTTTGGGCTTGATTTGCAGCTACAGAACCTGGGTCCTCTTTAAACGTCTGCGAACAAACTGAAAGAAGAGTGGATCAAAATTCCTCCTAACCACCAACCTTTACTGAAAACCTCCTGCACTCGTTAGATTAGAGTCATTTTAGAATCTGATAAAGACCAGGTCGAGTTCATTATATCCTGAAACCCCAGAGCAGAGTGGGACATTTAACCTTCAAAAGGCAGTTATTTTATAATCCCTGCTCTGTATTTTACCTCAGGACGCCAGAGACTGTGCGAACATTCATCTTCATCAAAGTTCATGCTCAATATTCAGGTAAAAAAATCCAACAAAGTTAAATCAGGTCCTCTGGACGGTTTCTTTTTTTGTTGAAATGTTTCGTTCTTCACCCAAAGGACTTCATCAGTCCAAGAAGTCACAACAAACTTAGTCCCACAAGCAGCACAATCACATAGTGGACCAACCAGTTTGATGGTGATAAGAGGTCCAGAGGACTTTACTTAACTTTGTTGGATTCACCTTCATCGTTATTGAAATCCTGCTTTCAGAGCGCCCATTAGCACCTGAAAGCTGCCCGCCGATGATCCCGTCTTCACTTCAGTCCAGACTGAACGTTAACTGGACAACCGGGACCTTTCAGCCACGTCTGAAGCACCAGGGCAGAGAGGAACTTGGCGTTGTGTTTACAGGAGCAGAACCAAGGCCGTTAAAATATCAAATTATGACCAAACTCTTTCTAGTAAAAGCAGGCCAGTTAACGGCGCTGTATAAAATACTCCCCTGTGTTCGCCCGTCAGTCTGGAGGTCTGAGTCAGGATGAGCAACGATAAAACTGCTGAAGTGTTTTTCTGCTTCACTTTGCATCGGCCTGATCATCACGAACAAATAAATCTGAGCTGATGTTCCGTCACAGCTCCTGTGTTCTGCTCCGCAGATTATTATTCCAGACAGCCCCCCCCCTCCCCCCGCAGCTCAAATACAAACTATATTTAACATTTCAGGAGTCAGCATTCCTCTGCCTTCGGCTGCTTCACTTGCAGAGATATCCCCCTGACTTATCAACCAGAAGAGCTAAATCCAGACAACAGCTCAAAGACCCTCCTCCTCAGAGCTGAAGGAACCCTCCACACGTTCTGCTGTCTGAAGGAGACACAGAATGGAAAAACTCCTGCCAGGACGTGGATAAGGGAAATAAAAATGTGACTTTTTGTTACTGGATTTCATCCGATTTCTCTCTAATCGACTGTCAATAAATGCTGCACTTCATAAGTTTACACGTCGGCTGTTTGAAGCTAAAGAAGCATTATTTGAAGCTTCTCTCCAGAGGGAGGTATTTACTGAAAACCTGAACTTAAACATTTAAATATTGAATATTGGTTGGCACCATGAAAGGATCACATGTGTTTGCCACAGCTAATTAACTTTAGCAAACAAAAATGGCTACAACTAAGCCAGTCTTGTTGTTGAAGTTTGTTGTGGTAGTAGTCGAGAGTAATCCTCATCACATACTCTGAGCTCTACATAACATGTGGAAAACACTATATCCAAGATTTGAACAAAAGTCCTAAACATAATTTACAGTTAGCGGTTCGACTTTCGCCGCGGCTCCCTTTCGCAGTTTTTCAAAGTACGATTGGACATGACACACAACTGGCTGATTGATGGATGAGCCGCAGGAGCAGCATGGATTGTTAATTTAAAATAAATTATTTTAAATTATTTACCACCTGCTAAATCATTAGGTGCAAGGAGACGCTCCCTCCTGCAGCGTGTCATGATCTCCGCTCTCTGCCACACACACACATTTCTCCTCTTGCTGCAGCAGCTTCGTGAAAGGTTAACCCTTTGCTGCCCAGCTGCACCGATCGAAGTTGGGTTGTGGTTACCTTTGTTTCTATAATTTACGGTAACTCAGTATATGTGGTGTAGGGGGGAGTGGTGGCGCAGAGGTTGGAGAAGGTGGGCATGTGATCGGAAGATCGCCGGTTCAAGCCCTGGTACAGACAACATCAAAAATGTGGGTGGGGTAGGTGAAGCACTCACACCTGCCCCCACCCTCATTCGTCCCACCCTGAGCCCTTGAGCAAGGCCCTTAACCCCCACCATCTGCTCCTCCGGGTGTCCTAGATAGCAGCTCTCTGCTCCACACAGAGCGCTGTGGTAGCTCGGTGGTCTGTGGTTGCGTCAGGAAGGACATCCGGCGTAAAAAAAACACAAAAAAAAACTGTCAAGTCTTCGTGCGACTTAGTTCGCTGTGGCGACCCCTGAAGAAGGGAGCAGCCGAAAGAAGAGGGGGGGGGGGGGGTGTATGTGGTGTAGCTTTTCTAGTATTTCCAGTTATTCCCAGGTCTGGCCTGCGTTTTCTCTCCAGCCAGCCCACAGAGGTTCAGGCCTGAAAAGACAACGCGAGTGAAGAAATCCAGCATGGTCGTCACCAAAACAGAATTTAAAAATACATTCTGGACTTTTCCTTGAGATAGATTTCTTAAGGCAGACCTTGGGCGGCTGTGGCTGAGCGGTTAGAGCAGTCGTCCTCCAATACGAGAGTTGGGGGTTCGAATCCACCAGCAGTCATACGTCGAAGTGTCCCTGGGCAAGACACTGAACCCCTCATAGCCTCCAATGTGTGTCCCATCGGTGTATGAATGTGATAAAGCTCTGATTAGTCTCTTTAGAATGATTTGTTCAATTAGCTTTGTAGAGATCTAGTAGAGCGCTGTATGAATGGGTAAATGAGGACACAGACTGTAGTGTAAAGCGCTTTGAGTATCTTGAAATAAGATAGAAAGGCGATATACAAGTACAGTCCATTTGCTGAATTAAATTTGAAGACCACTGGTGTGGACGTTTTTGGTAAACTGTGAACAGGAAGTGCTCGCTGTGGTTTCCTCCGCTTAGATCAGCCGTTACATTGTGTCTCTGCAGTAAAGCTGCCTGCTCTGTAATCCTAATCCACTCCGACTCAAGTCTCTCAGCAGGTAAACTGTCGGATTTAAGCTCGCAGAACAACATTACTGCTCCACGGTGTCAGCAGAGTGATGCTGCAGTCATCGCTCTCCTCCAGTGTTTGCACAGAGACAATCGCCATGGAAACGCATAACCTACTCCTCCACTTGTCTGAGGAGACACAGTGTTGGAGGAGATGGAGCAAAACTGGTTTAAGGTTTCTGGTCCGGTACACGCTCCTGACCAAATGTGTTTCTTTGTTAAGCCATTTAACCCTAAATATTTGGGTGTAAACGTAAATAAGGGGGTGTGTCTTCAGGGTGTAGGAGGCTGTTTTCAGTCAGCGCTCAAGAGGAGCTTCAGTAAAAGATTCTTAAAGAAGCCAAAGAAGTAAAGAAGAGGTGAGAAAATGTGAAGGGGTCAGATATTTAGCTGCTGTTCATCAGCAGGAACAGAAAACAACAAGCTCCACTAGCTCTTCTGCTCTGGATGCTAAACCTCTGTATCCAGAGGTCGGATGGGATGTCTTCCAAACAATGTAAAAACAAACAAACAAACAAACACACACACCTGACTAAAATCAGAGACTGCCATCAGAGGAAACCTTCTCAACAGAAATCAAAAACTGCTTCCAGCACACATAGAAGACCAGGCTTCAGACCCTGTTAGCAAAATATCACATTTAAAATTGGTAAATTTTAATTTACCAATCTGGTAACCAAATTGGTAAATTTTAAATGCAGATGGAGACATTTACAAAACTTTAACGCTTAGGCCATATTTAGTCCAAGTTTAGTAAACATTTATGTCTATTTTGCTACTTGTAGCTTCCAGCTAACCTTTTGGTTTTTATTATTTTAGCTAGTTTTTTTTGCGTCTTCCAGATTTAACCAAGGTTATTACTTTAAGCTAATGTTTTGCTATGTTTATCTAGTTGGGCTTATGATATTTTTAGCTTTAGCTGACATTTTAAATTGTCAGCTACCTTTAAATTTTAGCTAGTTGTTGGCTACCTTTAGATTCTAGCTAGTCTTTTGCCAATTTTAAAATTTAGCTAGCCTTGCTACCTTTTGCAAGCCTTTTGCTACATTTAGTATTTAACGATCACTTTGTTACTTTTAGCTGACCTTTAGTTACTTTTACATTTTAAATAGCATTTAGAAACTTTCAGATCATCTTTTTTCTTTTTAGCTAGCCTTTTGCTACTTTCAGCTTACCAATTTCACCTTTTA